AAGAATAAAAGGACAGGTTTCAAGGAGATAGAAGATGACAATTGACATTACATTTAAATTTTTTGAGAACGTAGTTGACAGGAAAGCAAGAGACCAGAACAGAAGAAAGTTCCATAGATAAAAAGTGTGAAAGAAGAAAGTTAGAATAGAAATAGTAAAATGATGAGACCTAACTTCCAATCTAGTACTGTTCTTAGTGAAGACAAGGTATGAAAGAGGAAAGCCTAGAACAATTGCCATGAAAATATTTATAGAAAAGGCACATGGAAGCTATGGTCTGAAGCTGTGAATAAGAACTGTTTTTTTTTTCATTTTGAGTTCCAAATCAAAAATGGTCAAAATAATAAAAACAACCAACTTTTTGAACTTAGTATGTTCCAATAACTGGCCTGTTGGTTAGCATCAATCTTCTGAAAAAGAACACTGCTGAAGAACAACTTTGGAATAGTGTGAATTAAACATTACAAAAAAAAATGTATTTTCCCATTTAAGCAACTGTATAATAAAATTAAAACAAAAAATCCTGGAAAGAGAAAAAAAATGTCTTTCCTTTCTATCAAAACAATACATCTTTTTATATATTGATATTCACCATGTTTATAGTACAACTTTGTATGTTTCAAGTGAGTTTATCAATTTTTAGGAAGAAACTTTAAATCTCCATAAGGCTCCAAGCAAAGCCCTATTGCTCAAAAAAGTTATATGGACTATCAAAATGATTAGGCTCAAGAAACAATGCTAGTGCTTCTAAATCAAATTAATATTAATTTATAAATCAATCATGAAGTTATTCTTTTTTTCAAGAGTGAAAATATCAGACTAAATTTATTTCACCATTATTCATGAACCATCCTAAAAATCATCTTGAAAATTTTTTAAAAACATCTTGAAATCAAAATGTTTTTTTTTTTTTTTTACTTTGTTATCATTTATAGTTGTTAGCAGCATAATAAAAACATTATCACAATGTTTAGAAAATAAATACAGTAATTCCCCGGGTTACGACAATCCCAGCCTATGATGATTCATGGTTATAACACAATCTCTATTAAACTTGTTTTGATTTATGCCATTTGTCTCATACATATGACATAAACAACACAATGCAGCAGAAGAATACCTCGTCATAAAATGGTGGAGTGAGAAAAGTGGCATGAATCAGTTTCTGGTTGCATGCTCTATTGGATTATTGGTGAGTGCTTAGTCATAGAAATTTGCGGGTATGTTCCAACTTACATGGAAAATTGTATTACAAAGAATCATAGTAATGGAACTCTGTTGTAAGTCGAGGAGCCTCTGTATTTATTTTAATTAATTCAGTCTTTATTCTTTTATTTGTTTTTAATACTAGTTGTACAGATTGTAATAAAATTTTAAAAAAAGCTAAAACATTAAAGTTTTAAAAATGAATAAATACAAAAACAAATTAATTAAATTTTACAGTAAATTTTTAAAATCATTTTATTCTAGTTAAATATTATGGGTGAATCCCCTTGAATCATTTATATGGAAACGTTTTTATTAATTTTCATGCTTAGTTTAACTTACATCATACTTTAATTTAGGAATTGTGGCTGTAGACATTCCTTTTATATATATATATATATATATATAAAAACAAACAAAATGTTAACACATTTCAATTATTCATAAACAAAAAGGGTTTTAAGGTCTTATAAAAAATTGTTCATTTACAATTACCTGCTTTGCAGTGCGATTAAATTACAAACCTGCTACTATTGGCAAGAAGTAAGATTTTTTTTTTTAATTTCAAGAAATGTTGCTTTTAGGATAAATTTTTAATTGAAATTTAAATTAAAAATTTTGTATGTTTCTAGCATCAACCCTCAATACCTAACCAGTTATCCCAAAATGGAGGCCTGGAAAATATGCTTCCGTACATGTTATTGATATTGGCTGTTTTGTTGTTTTTTGTTTTTTTTTGTTGAGAACCTTATGAAATAAAAGTAAATCAGGCCAGAAAGAATTATTTTCAATATTCTTGTTTCAACTGAAATAGAAAACAACAGGTGAAATAATGAAAGAAAAAAAAGAATATATATATATAGGTATGTGTGTGTTCAAAGTGAAAAACTTCAATTTTAATGCTGAAAGCTGAAAAACAAGAGTTTTAAATTAGACAATAATGATAATTATTGATGTTTTGCCTTTAATAAATAATGAAACAAACAAAGACATTTAAAGAATATGCAAGCACAGATTTAAAGTTAAGTAAATTTTCATTCCAGATAGAAGGAAATGGTGTGAAAAGATCATTAAAGAAGCAGAAAATTAAACTGGTAAGAAAGGCTGACACAGATAAAATGGATCCATCAACAGATGATCTAATACTGGAGTTAATATTTCTCATAAACTGAGTCTAATGATTTTTAAAAATATCATACAATGAAAATTCTGACAGAACAGTGACTAGGAGGGATATTAAAAAAGATAAACATTACTGAGAGTTACAAAGGGTAGGAAGTTGTGGAGAGTCATGATTGCTTATATCCTGAAAAGACCCAGCATCAAAAAACTTAAAATAAAAAATAAATTTATTATTGTTTCTAAGAAAAAAATCCACTTCATGATTAAGTATCTTGGAATGGCGTGTGGGCTCCAGTGACACAGATAGCTATGCTGGCAGTAGTTTATCCCTTGATAGGTCCAACTTAACCAGAGAGACCAATGGGTAGGAGTCTGATAAAACTTTAGTCACCTAAAGGAGTAAATGCTAATGACAAAATACCTGGAGCAGGTAGCAGCTCTCCAGTTAGAACTGGAGAGTTGCTACCTGCAAGGCAAGCATTAATTTCCATCTGAATTTCTGAAATGAGAAAGTTATTATTTACACTATTTACATTCAGACTATTGTCCTCATTTTTGTTGTTGATATTACATTATGTTTTGGCCTTCACCAGGTGTATATTGATCCAGGTAACCTACAATGAATTCTGAGCAGAATCCCTTATTTAATCTACAGAAGTAGACCATTCTCATTCCACTGCCCATGTCTAGGGATATCTTGTTTAGTTCTTATTTTTGTACTGCTCATTTATTGTTTTTCCTGTTTCCCCTGGTTTCAAGTAAAGTAAAGTGTGTTCAATCTCTGGGCCGGGTAGTGTGTACTTGGACTCAGTTGAAATGAGGTGAACAATAAATAAGCTGTGCTAAAAATAAGAACTAGATGAGATATCCCAAGACATATTCATTCTTCTATTTTTTTTCTACTATTAATTATGTTGGATAATAATCTATCTAACCTAAAAACCATTCTACAATATTTCCTTAGTTCCACTGACTTGGTCCGTCAAAGAGCTAAGACTTGTCATGCCATGTTTACGGTAGCAAACCATCTCCATTCTCTTTGTGTTTCTTTGATCAAAAACAAGTTCCATTCAAACAACTTCTCCCCCAGAACTGTTAATTTGTGAAACAAATTCTTGAGAGAAAGCTTCCTTGATAACTACAATCTTGGTCTAAGTTCAGCGTCAGCCAATATCTATTCTACTTGTCCTCATAACACTCTCTTAATTCCCCCTCCCTTACAATCTCACTCAGTAACCCTTTACTTTGAGTGACCTTTGACCCCTGTATTGAGTGAACTATCAGTAAAAAAAAAAAAAAAAAAGGTAATTATCACCTGAATTCTAAGATGGTGAGAAGTGGATTGAGTGAATATTTTTAATGGCTTATCAACCGTTTATCAACATCATGAGAAGGTACCTTTATTTATTAACCTTAAATAAAATGATTCATTGGATAATATCACTCAAAACAATCTGAATTTTTGTTTGATTTGTTTTTTAAAGCTTATCAACCCTTTTGTACGTTATTTAAAGCTGGACATATTTTGAATTGGAAAAATAATTCTTTTGTATGTGTGTGCATGTGAATATTGCATATTTTTTGAGAATAACAATGATTTTTTTCAGGTAAAAGTCTTATTATTTAACCCATAGCTTATGGGAAGAGATGGATTTATACCTTTCTCAGGGGTATTTGCGTACAAGTGAATGTAACAAACCCAACAGGAATCTGAACTTGGCTCTCCAAATTCTCATTCCAAGCCACTATCCATTAAGCCACTTACCCATCCATCCTTGGTAGGAGGTGCAAGGGTAGACAAAGGAACAGAGAATGGATTGGGAGAAGCATTCTGGAAATATTAAGTTAAAACTTAATCGTAAACAACAACAAAAATCATTAAATAAATAAACTAAGATCTTTTGCAGTGAGAACGGGATCAGAACGTCAATCTGTAACACATGATCCTTCAGAGAAGTGGCAAATTCTTACAACTAGCTTGGCCATCTACCTAAGAGAGGGAAACTCTAACAAAAACAACTACTGTCAACCTTCCATTTCGCGGGACCATAAGACCCTGGTGAGTCAGTAATGCTTATACTGCTCTTCACTTTAAAATCTCCCTTGCAAAAACCTGAAAGTTTTTCCAACATTTATCTCTTGCATGATGTGGGAGGGCCTGTAACTGTCATGGAATATCCCCAAAATTTTTGTGAAGTCAAACTGTGTTTATCCCCTCAGTGAACTGCTTGAATCACCGACAAAAGACATACTAATGATTTAAAAGAAAGTAAAATTAGGTGAGGTTGAGCCTAAAAGAAACAAGAAATAAAGGGAAAAAACAAAATATGAGATATTTAACATACTCAAAATCTAATCTAAAAAGATTTGTTTTTTATGCCTTATCAACCTTTTTGTAGGTTATTTAAAGCCCAAACATATTATGGGATTGTAAAATTAATTTTTTTTTTTTTTTTTGCGAGTGAATATTGTATTAACAATTTTTTGGAGATAATAATGATTTTCAGATACAAGTTTTACTATTTTAACCCATAGATGGGGGTATAAGAGGTGGATTCATACCTTTTCCAAAGGTATTTGTGCATAAGTGAATGTAATGAAACTGACTGGAATTCAAACGTGGCTTTCTGTCTTCTCATTCCAAGCCCACTACACCACTTGCACTTCCAAGCTTATAGCACCTAGTATCCCCAGATGGTCACCCATCTAGGTACTGGCCAGGCTCGACGTTGCTTAACTTCGGTGATTGACAAGAACCGGTGTTTCAACGTGATATGGCCATGAGCCTAATCCAAATAAAAATCAAGATTTATGACTAGTATAGAAAGCAATTCTATGAGGTAAGCCTTTCTTCCAAGCATTCTGTTTTAATGCAAAGCATATATAAGCCCTTTAAGCAACTAAGAACAAACAAGCTAAGCTTAATATTATAGCAATAAAAGGCATGAGATAGCACTGCCCTTAGTTGTTCTTTTTTCCAATATAAGAAGATTAAAAAGGACATAGAGCAGAGAGGAAAAAGAGATGATGTTATTTTCATATCATGTGATACCTTCACTTCAACAGCTTCTGGGATCGTTTCCACTGATCTTGCTATTGGGGCGCCTGCACCGGTTCGACGTAGTTGTAAAGTCTGAGCATCTGGGCCAAATGCCGAGCTGAGAGGTCCATGTGTTGGGGACCCCTCATGGAAACCCCCCATCTCAGTGTCACTCTGATCTTGTAGGCCTCGCCGAGAGATGAGATGTCTCATACTGGTGGTCTTTGTCTTTTGCCGTTTTATTTTAAAAGTTTTTCTACTCTTGGCATCCTGACGTTGTAAGCGATGTTTGGCTGGGTCATGGTCGGCACTTTCACCAAAGGCTTCTTCTTCTGTCATGACACCGCTAACTGATAAGAGTTTATTAAAGAGAGAGAAGAGAATAGTAACATTAGTTAATTAGTAAAACAAAGGACATGATTTGGTTAATTTTGTTATTTCAACAGCTGATTGTATTACTATACACACAAGGTTTATTAGTACATTTTGGCTATTGTTTTTTTTTGTTTTTCATATGTACCCAAAAGTTATTTTTTCTTCTCACTAATAAATATTAATTAAACTCAAATATTTTCTGTTTTTGTTTGCTTATTACATAAAGGTACTGGAATTACATATAATATATTAGGTTGAATCATAAATAATTTCCTTTTTTGTTTGTTTATTATTTAAAGTACTGAAATTAATTATTTGCTGAGTAATAAATAATTTCAGTTTTTGTTTATCAATTTCATGCTTTGAAAAATAAAGTACAATTGCATTTTATTTAGTTATTCTTAATGACTCATTGCTGCTTCGCAGACAACTCTTCAATACCTTTTGAGTAAAATGACCACCCATCCGTTGTTAACTAGAGCAGAAGATGGCTTGTTAATTTTAACACTTCCAAAATTAAACTGCTATTAATCATCTGATAGAGATCCTTCTCTATTTTCCATCAGCATGGAAAGGTAGCAACGATTTATCGCTCTGATATTTTAGAAACGATTAAATCTGTCGAAACTCTGATATTTTATCAAAAACAGTTTAAAGTCTGCAGTGAAACAGACAGTGGAAATTTCTATTTTTTTAATTGTTAAAAATAAACGTCATTCATGTTTGACATTTGTACATTTTCTAGCCATCAATGGCAGAAGGACTTGGTCAGTGGATATTTTTCTATTTTTTTTTTTAATTAAGTTAAAAATAAAAATTTGATGACATCTGGCTATTCTATCAATGTCTACATTTTCTTTGGTTAAAGTTGTTCAAACATATTTGTACATTTTTTCTAGAGCCATATTATAAAGTTTTTTTTTTTTAGTATGAACTCACCCACTGCTGACTAGAAATCAACAGGACTTTTTACTTTTTAATTGACATGTGAATAACATTTCTTCAATTGTTCAAATTTTAAAAAAACACTGATAAAATTTTCGAGATTCTGCTAAAATGTATTTTATTATTTTCCTTTCAAGTACAAATTCAATGAGTGCAAATTAATTTATCTTTGGAGACATCTACTTGTCTCTGATGCCTTTTATTTTTGCTTTTCCTCTTTTCTTGTTGAGTAAGGGTAACAGCTAGAAGACATGACTTCATATTCTTTCTCCCTTTCTTTTTCTTCAACTAGACACAGGAAGTAACTACGAGGCCATGAACTCGTCCTAATCAAAGAAACTACCGTTCGCAATAATTACTAGATATTACTGGCTAAAAATAAACACTTTTCTTAAAGGACAATTTTAGCTTGTGAAAAAGCCAGATTTCTGGGATTTGCTATTTTGACTTTCATGAATTAAAAAAAAGGATATGTGGGTAGCCCAATTTAGAAAATTCCAAGACTTTTCGAAGAGCTTTTAGACTGTTCCTATTTTTCCAGGATTTTCAAGCCCTGGAAAAAGCCCTATCAATTTTTCAGGACTTTTCAAGGTTTCCACAATCTGTACAAAGACTGTATATTGAATCCATTGCTAGGTCAGCTGCTAAGAAAGTTGGTTTACTGTGTTGTGCGAGACAATTTTTCTCTCCAGAATCTATCATACATATCTATAAGTCTACCATTCATCCATGCTTCTAATATTGTTCCCACTGCTATTTAGCTTGAGATCTTTGATAAAATCCAAAGAAGCATCAGCAATATTATCAGTCCTGATCTGGTGGCTCAGCTTCAATCACTTTCCCACCACCATAAGGCTGCCTCCCTGTGCCTTTTCTATAAATACTTTCATGGTAATTGTTCAGATAAGCTCTTTGCTATGGTACCTAGACTTTATGAATTTAAGTATGCTACTAGACTGAAGTTGATATCTTATAAATTTACAGTTGAGTTGGCTAGATGTAACCGTAAATTCTATGCTAACAGTTTTTTCTCATACTTCTCACTTGTAGAACTCTTTTTCAGCTCCATGCTTTCCAGCAAACTTTGATCTTCAAAAATTGAAATGAAATGTCAATCACTATCTAGTGTCTTCCTGATTACTCTTCTTTTGTTCTTTCTCATTAGTAATGTTACTGTTTCTAATTCTTCCACACCCAATAACCGCTTGTGTCTTTGTGACTTTACTGCCTTGCATGGGGTGAAATCAATTAAAAAAAAAAAAAAATTCACAGGGTTTTATGTAGAGATGTTTTGATCAACTCTTGAATCTGGTTTTCATTAGAGAAAATTTTCTCCATCCCCATCAGAAATGGGAATAGTGGATGTCAGCTCATCCCCGGGCAGCCTTTGTGACCCCCCCCCCATTGTCCTAATGGGTCCTTTAGTCTTTCCAAATGAGTGAACTTGTCACAGTGTCTACCCCTCCTCCTCATTCAGGTATTATGCTTCTGATTCAAGAATTTCTGCTGCTCTGATTCCATGGCAACAACCTCATTTAGTAATCATTTACCCTGTAAAAACAAAAGAAAAACTAAAATATTTTGTCACAATCAAAAAAAGATAATAATCAGCTGTTGCAACATCAAATGAATATGGCAGGTGAGGTAGAACAAAATGACAGAGTTTGAATATTTATTCCTGCATTATTCTTGCTCTGTGACATTCAATTGTCATGGAGGAGGACAACATTTTAGAATTAAGATGACACATTCTTTGTTAAAATTAGTTCCCAAAAATGGAATTACTTATTGCTCAACCAAATAGTTCTTGAATCATATATCAGAGATTCTTGCAATGAAAACAAGAAAACATTCATTCTAAGACCATAGTATCGAATGTCATTCTTTTGTGTATTGCCGTGTTTTGTATTTAGTTGTTCTGAAAGTGAACAGTTGCATTTTAAAAATCTTTTGATTTGAACTGATTATTTTGTGGTATTGGATTTTGTCTTGGATCATACATGTAAACAGTAACGTACTGGTCAGTAGAGTAGAGGTAGAACATGTATGAAAATTTAGCTACAGCTAACCATTCAGCATAGGGTGAATCGGGGTCATTGGGGTGACATTTGAGCAGACTGCCCCGGGTGACGTTTACTCTAGCTATGCCACTGAATATATGCACACACTCATGTACATAAGAAAAGAAGTTGTACCTGCATTGTTTACATGACCATCAGGACATTCATTTTCATATACAAGACCTGCTGGTTGGGCAGCATTTTTATCTGGGCTTCCTTGTCTAACATGAAAAGAAGCAGGCTGTCGCTGTAACTTAGGTGAGGTAGATGCAGGGGGTTCTGAAAAAAAAAGAAGCACCACAATCAATAACACATTAATAGAATCATGACCATAAAAATAATGTAGATTTAATGTTTTGTAAAGTTTGTCTTTGAAAGCTGCTTCATTGAGCAATCATGGTTCTCCACAACTTCATGTCTTTTGCTGCTCTAATTTTTTATTCTTTATCATTTCTCTTTGTTACTTGTCTTCCTCTGCTTTTCTTGCATTCACTATGTCTTGTGAGTGTTGACTTCTCTTGGTCTACTTTTCCCATTATGTGTCTCAGAAATTTCAACTGTCTCTTTCTGATTGTAAGTATAAGTTTCCTAGCTGCTATTCCTCATTGTTCACATGGTTTGTCCATTATATTATTAGTATCCATGGGTAGAACAACATTCCAACTAATACAAATTTAAAAAGGATTTGTAGAAAGTAAATATTGAATCATATAAAAAATGCATCAGATATGAATTTGAAAAGTATTAGAAATTTTCCTATAGTCAAGAATAAGTAATAAAGAATAATAAAATGTTGATTGTTTATTGTGCTTAGCACAAGAGCAACATTTTTTGTCTAGCAAAACAACAATATTTTTCATCTGCATAGGAGTAACATTTTCTGTCTAGCATGATGGCAACATTTTGCGTCTAGTATAAGAGCAACATTTTCTGTCTAGTATAACAACAATATTTTTCATCTGCATACGAGCAACATTTTCTGTCTAGCATGATGGCAACATTTTGCATCTAGCATAAAGCAGCATTTTCTGTCTAGTATAACAACAATATTTTTCATCTGCATAGGAGCAACAATTTCTGTCTAGCATGATGGCAACATTTTGCACCTAGCATGACGACAACAATTTGTACCTTGCACAAGGGCAACATTTTGTATCTTGCATAATGGCATCATTTTCTATCTAGCATAAGTGCAACATATTCTGTCTAGCATAACAGCAACATTTTACATCTAACATAAGAACGACATTTTGTATCTAACATATTTGTGTTCATTTAATGTAAGTGTCTTACCTGGTGATGCATCATCTGTTATGGTATTTTTGCGTTCAAATTTGTCCAAGATACGACTGCCATCGCGTGCACTGATCCTACGAGTTGACTTTTTAGTGTTACTTATCAAAGGGCTACCACTGCCAGCACTAGAGTTGATGGTTGTAGCTGTCTTGAATGGAGTGCTGCTACTTGAGCTTGACTGTGAAAACACAGTGGAACCTGAAATAAAATTTTTTTTTGCAATGAACTTTATCAAATACACCAATATTTCTTACTGTAGAATTGCAATTGCCACACAATTCAGTCAATCAATTGTATGCCATGTGTGATACATGCGTAGGCAATCATGTATCTTTTGATACATGACTGACAAGGCAGATATTTCCCTGCAGTAGGTTGCCATTTCTTTCTGTGGTAGACCAGTTGTCATCTAAGGCTATAAAATCTGGTCTGTCCTGCTATTTACCCATAGCTGGGGGGGGGGGAGGATTTATACTTTTCCCAAGGGTATTAGCACGTAAGTGAATGTAATGGATTTGACTGGAATTAAAACTGGGGTCTCCGAATCCTCAATCTGAGCCATTATCCATTACTCCACCATGCCTCCTCTGCCACACACTTCACGGACACTAAAAAAACAAAGACAAAAAACACAGACACTAAAAGTTGGTTCTCTGTATTGCGCCAGAAGGTTTTTCTCATCCGAGTCCATCCTTCACATCTACAAATCAACCATTCTTCCATGCATTGAATACTGTTGTCATATATGGTCTGGTGCCCCCGTTCTTCATGTTGAGGTTCTTGACAAAATCCAAAGATGGATATGCAATATGATTGGTCCTGATCTGGAATCTCGACTCCAGTCACTTTCTCACAGATGTGATGTGTCTTCCCTCTGTCCATATCCAGAAAATTTACCATAAACATTTTTGCCATAGGAAAACTCACCTCAGGTATTTTCGCTGTAGAAAACTTTGCCATATAGGATTTTTGCCATAAGACAATTTTACCACATTTTTTTTTTGATACTCTTATCGTGAATGTCACTTTTGAAGTAAAGTTCAATATGTGAAGTAACTTGTTATCAAGTAAATATGGATGTCTTTTTTTACAGGGTCAAACATCAGAAAAGAAATTAAAAAGTAAACATTTATTTAAAAAATAAAAGACTAAAAATATATCAAATTAACAAAGAAATAATTTAAAATGTGTGCAAATTCCATGCAATGCTTCATAAATGTGTTTTTTATGTTGGACTGTAATGAAGCATTCTCTGATGAAGTCTTGCATTGATATCAATATATATTTTCTTCATTTATACTGCATCTATTTGATTTAAATCCCACTTTTTCTTTTTTTTTGTTAATTTCTCTTCCTTTTTCAAATATGCAATTAGTTTCCACAAATTTGGGTGCATCCTATAACCTCGCTTATTAAAATGTTTAAATTGAAGTACTAATAGTAAAAGCCAGATATACTTGAAAACAAGGTACTTTGCATATTAAAAATAATGCAGCAAAATTGTCTTATGGCAAAAATACTATACAACAAAATTTTCTACGGTGAAAATTCCTAAGGCAAGATTTCCTATGGCAAATGTTCCTAGAACCTCCATCTGTCTTTTCTACAAATATTTTCATGGCAACTGTTCTGATGAGCCATTTTCACTAGTACCCTGACTGCATGAATTTAAGCATGCTACTAGGTTGGCATCTCGGTCCCACCCTTTTACTGCAGAAACAGTTAAATATAACTGCCTCTTCTACTCCAACAGCTTCTTCTCTTGCACTTCCCGACATTGGAAATCCCTTCCTCTTACTTGCTTCTCTGATAACTATAAACTTCAAAAATTTAAATGTAATGTCAATCAAGGTTCTTGATAAAATCCAAAGACGGATATGCAATGTAATTGGCCCTGATCTGGCATCTCATCTGCAGCTGCTCTCTCACAGACATGCCGTTGCTTCTCTCTGTCTTTTTTTACAAATACTTTCATGGTAACTACTTCGATGAGCTGCTTTCGCTGGTTCCCTGACTTTATGAATTTAAGCGCTCAATTAGGTTGGCATCTCGCTCTCACCCTTTCACTGTCAAAACTGTTAAATGTAGCCGTCTCTTCTACTCCAATAGCTTCATGTCTCGCACTTCTCGCCTGTGGAACTCCCTCCCCATTTCTTGTTTTCCTGATAACTATAATCTCCAACTATTCAAATCTAACATCAATCAACATCTCTAGATGCCCTGATCTATCCCCTAACCATCTCTTCATCCTTTCCTCTATCACTCCTCTTTGTTCTCATTCTTAAACTGAAACCCTTTGCATGCTAGTGGCTTCCCACCTTGCTTGGGGTTGAAAAAAAAAAGAAAAAATATCTACTAATGCCTTGATCTTGATCCCTGTTCTTCTTTTTATCCTTTCCTCAATCCCCACTCTTTTCTCTTACTTTCACTCTCTGTAACCCCTTTGTGTACTAGTGGCACTCCAGCCTTGCTTGGGTGAAATGCTTATAAAAAAAAAAATATGATAGCTGTCCACTAGATTTTGAGCATGGCCACTTTGTTTGTTGCTTGGTCCTTTCAAGTAATAAAGTAACTTTAACTCCAAGAGATTATAGTGATAGACATTTGTACAATGCTCAATGAACATCAACTACTATAGCCCAATGACAAGAATGATTAAGATGACTGGTGATAGCTTCAGTTTAGGTTTTTATTTCATATATCTTAGACTGGTTGCCACCTCTTCCATAACATCAATAATGTTGATTATGATGATGATTGTAAGCAATTCTGGTCTCAGTATGGAATGCTAGGAGCAAATGGATTGAGCGGCAGTTTGAATAAAATAATTGCTGAGTTTAGCACATCTTGTGTCGTCTTTGTGTTGCTTCAGTTTTTCCAGCAGCCAGTCTCATACAAGCCATCTTTCCACCCAAAGCCCAGTGGAACACCACCCAAGGCTAAAGATCCCAGTTTGCCCTTTTACTCATAGCTATGGTAAGAAGATAAGGATACATACACTTCTAAAGGGATATTTGTCTGAAAGTGAGCATAGCAAATAAACTTGACTAGAATTCAAACTCTGCTCGCTGACTTCATGTTCTGAGCTGCTAATCATTACACCAGCTGCAATATTATGGTGGCTAACAAAACTCTGTGGCAGGTGCATTTGTGTTTGTTCAATATGAAGAGTCAACTTGTGCTTTATACTGCAATGATGCTGAGCTATCCATAATTATATTTTCTGGGAGAGAGCACAAAATCTGGCCAGATCAACAGTTGTTGAACAAGATGTCAGTCACAATGACTTGTTGGTACAACCATTGATGGCTTCTAGTTTCATCTACTTAATTTCACTCACAAGGCTTGGGTCAACTTGTGATATAGTTTTCAAGCACTTCCTAATGGTGCCACACACAGGGGTCATCTTCCCAGGTTGAAATAATCAAGAATTCATCTTTTGAACATGGGTTTTGTTAGAAATATGTCAAGTAGATATATTAGAGTAGAATTTGAGTAGTACTTGATTTACTCAAGTTATTCTGTTCTATGTATGAGTATTTAATAAACTACTTCTTCTTTGTTTCTTCTACCTAGTCTTCTGCTCCTTTGATACTCCCTTTAACTACAGCCTTCCTAATTCTCAGCTAGACAACATTACAACAGAACTCATGGTTGGAATGCTAATGTTCTAACTACTCTGCCATGCACCCATAATATATAACAAGAATTTTATAATCAAATCTCCTGATGAGTGGATGCAACCTTTGTGAAATTAAGAACTTTTTGAGTTTTTTTTAAATCTCCTGATCCATAGGGTCATAGGGGTACCATGTGTACTTCGGCCACAGTAGAAAGGGTGTTTCTTAAGAAAGACAGCCTGATGGAACCCAACCCTCTCCAGGCTGGTTTTGAATTCAGAGTTTTTCCTTCTCCTAAACTGGTTGCCACCAAAGGTTATAGAACCCAGTCTGTCTTGCTATTTACCCATAGCTGGGGGGAGAAGAAGATGATTCATACATTTCCCAAAGATATTAGCACATAAGTGAATGTAATGGATCCGACTGGAATTCGAACTTGGTTCCCCGATTCCTTAATCCGAGCTGCTATCCATTACTCCACTGTGCTCCGAAATCAAGAGTAGAGACAAGTGAACAATTAATTTTATTTATTGTTATATATTTGTTTTATACATAATTTGTTGAATTTGATAGATAAGAATAATTTTGTATTTAACCAGTTTTTATAGTATCCTTACAGCTTTTCTTTTATGAAGACTAACAGTGTGCAAAAATTGTCCATAGTAATTATTGTTCCAAGTACTTTTGGTTAATTCTTTAGCCATTTTCAAGGCAGGTGGGTAATTTTCATTGTTAGTATATTTTTATGTTTGCATTCTATGTTGTGTTGTGTAGAAATAGTAGAAATTTTGTACTGTCAAGTATTCAAAATACAGCCAGTTTGTTATGACTGGATTCAAAGCAAGAAATGTTAAGTATAGGTCTGTATGTTTTTTTTATAAAAAGTACTTCAATTATTTTTAAACATCTATTACTATATATACTCAAGTATAGTGCAAATTTTATAGTCAGTATTTTTTCATGTAAAAAAAAAAATAGGGGGTTGCACTGTATATAGGTAATTTTTTTCTAGAGAGGTGAAAATTCATGTAAAATAATTCAGGGGTAGCACTATACATGAAGCCAGCTTATACATGAGTATATACTGTAGATGTTTTTTAAAATGACAGTATTGTCTATAAAGATTTTTTATGGGAATAGAAAGTTGGGTATGAACATTTAAGTGCTTAAACTAAGCTCACTTAAGTGGTTATTTAGATGTCTAATTAAAGAGATTTTTGTGTGACCAATGTATTTGTTTGTGGTATCTTTATTATAAAGTTTATAGCGTTGCACAGAACAATAGAATTTATCAGCAAACAAAAAATATACTAACAACAAAAATTACCTCTTCCCCACTGCCTCTTGAAAATGGCTCAAGATTTAGCCAAAAGTGCTTGGAACAATGTTCACTACAAACTATTTCTAAACACACTTAATCCTCATAAATGAAAAACTGTCTGTCACACTTAACAAAACATGTATAAAAGAAGGATTGTTGCCCAATATATATATATATATATATATTTGAATGCATTATTTCTAGAGTTATCAAACTATTAAGCATCAAAATAAAGAAAATATATGAATTTTATGCTCACCTTTACTTGGATGTTTGCCAACCGTGCCAAGTGAAAATTTAGGTGGAACAATTTCAGCTGTAATTTCATTAATTTGTTGCTGCTGTTGATCCGTGATATGAGTATAGGAAAGTTCAGATGGATCAGACAACATTGCTGGAGTAACAGTAGGAAATTCTGAAAGAATATAATAATCATTATGATGATGATGATGATGACTATGTTATTAAGGAGTTGATTAAAAGTGAAAGAAAAACTATAAAAATTTATTGATCTGTCACCAGGGCTTAGAATATGCTAAAAGAATCCATAGCATAAGAGTAAGACTCTGACCTGCCAAGGGGACATTTTCAGTCTGGATATTTACAGATTCTATCTATGAAAGTAGACCTATGTCTACCATTTTGACTCTAGTGTAAAACTAGACCAATGTCTACCTACCTATTAATTATTTGTCCTATAAGATTTTATTTAATACTAAATAACCCTACAAGAGTTGATATGTCATTAATCCAACATAACCTATACAAATTCAGAAAGGCAATAACAAGTTAGTTAGGCTAATGGATTTAATGACATTTCAGCCTATTAAAATTCAATCTATGCTTGGTCATTTAGTGTCGAATATTCTTTTTATCTTATGTTTTAGAATTTTTTTCTTTTAATCCAGAACTTAAATATATAAGTCTTATTGGAATAAATTGTTTTAATGTTTGAAATTCTACATTAATTACCATCAAAACAATTCTCATAATTTTTTAATGTATTATCTAATCAAAACAAATAAAATTACAAAATTGGTAAAGTGTCAATGAACAAATCTACCAACACTAAACCTGTCAAAGAAAAAAAAAACATGAAAATACAAAAGAAAAAGTTAATTAAAAAAAGAAAAAAATGAATAAAAATCCAAAGAAGCAAAAGAAAATGCAAAAGAAAAAAGACAAAAAAACCTAAAGTGCTCAATGTCTCTATAAATTAGGCTAAGACAGAACATGTATTTGTTTTTTATTTTCTTTCAATTTTTGTTGTTTTCAATGTCAAAACATAATACATTACATCAAAATATTACTCATCCATTCTTTTATTAGTATACAAAAAATACAATCTATACACACAATACAAAGAAAGTTATGATAATTATAAAACAGTGGGTGCTCATGGTTTTTGTGCCTTCAAAAAACATGAAGTGGCAGGGGGAACAATTCTAGAAAGAATTTAGTGGGGTAAAGGTTAAAACACTTTGTTTTTTTTTGTTCTTCCCACAAACTCATTTATACTCTAGTTTTCTGGGGTGGGTTTCACTTTGAAGAGCTTGTTATAAATGTTTTTATCCCAACCTGGTTACCATTTCTCTGGAAAAGCTCACCTAGTTTTCAGGGTAATAACAACACATGGCAAACAGTAAATAGATAACCAAACATCATTTAAAAAGTAGAAATATGAAAGTATAGACAAAAACCAAAGGAAACTCCCTTCTGACCTGCATTAGCTAACTCTTCTTTGATGTGTCGTAGTTCCAATGTCAGTTGGATGAGGGTGCTACCCTTACATTTGGGGTGATTCACTGTATGTACACCCATCAATTTATCTTTAATGATCTGCTGCAGGAAATACTCCTCTGCCGTATCACAATTCACTTTCATCATCTGAAAATCAATAAGTAGATGAAACAAGATCATAACCTTTCACTGAAACAGATTTTTACATAACTAGATTGAACTTAAAGAAAATATTCTGTATAATTTTTGTTCATTAAATAATAAAAACAAAATTGCCTTTCTTACATTTTGCTGCAAGAAAAGCAGCTTTTAAATAAATGAATACAGTCATGAAAATGATTCATTTTAAAAGAATATTAAGATTATAGTAATAATAATGAACTCTTTCTTCAATTTCAATATATAAGAGCCAAATAGTTCAGTTAGAACTGAACTACCAGACTACAGATGATTTGATTACATTGGTGAAGACTTGTGTAAAACCAGCCACACTTTTTGTTATATTCCGTGCTAATAGGAATATATACTTGAAAAACAAGGTGGATAAAATAAGTAAAGATTTATTGTAAAAACCAGTACAATAAGAATAAAGGTAATAGTTATGCACAAAGTCATCGCAAGACAATCCAGTAGTGAGTGCTACTATTGGAAGGTTGGTAGTTCTCGCATAAGTCTTTGTGCTCAACAGATCTCAGCTAGTATATTTACTAACCTCCCCATGCAATCAGATGTAGCACAAGGCTGTGTTTAATGTGGGGCATTCAAGCCTGTAGGCTCAGCCAAATATTCCTGTAAACACCATATATATATGGGGTTGGGTAGCTGTTTCCCGAGACGAGACTCTGCCCTTCGGCATAGCCTCGTCTGGGGATCCTGTCAGTTCGGAGGCAGAGAGTTTGACCAGCACAGCTGGAACAGATCCTGGCTAGACTCTGTAGTCCATTGACTTACAGATACTTATAGGTAGTTACTACCTATAGTGTAATCACTCATAGGGGTGGCAGGTTATTCCATTACATCACTTTTCAAAAGAAATGATAGCAGAGAAATGATGTATAGTGTGCCAGGAAGTGTTCAAACAACTCACCTCAGATTTGAATTCAGTTTTCTTCTTCCTAGACTGGTGGTAACTCAAAGCAAAAAACTCAGTCTGCCATGCTATTTAAACTAGGTATTTACTGTCTCCCCACTAAGACGAGTTGTGACACAAGGTCTTTTTTAAGGTGGTGACCCAAGCGCATATGCCTGGGCAAGGAACAAAAATTGCTCACAGCCCCCACAACCGTCAGTTGCTCTGGCCTCACTGCAAGCACCGAACCGTCTCTCTCTGGTAAAATAAGAGGACACGGCCTTGGGCAGCTGTTCCCCAGGGCTGGGCACCTCTCAGTATAATTTTCCTCAGTTGAGACTGTCCTTTGATGGAGCCGCTTCTGAGTGCACTCTGCCCAAAGACAGAGACACAACTGAGAGATGATAAATAATGTGTTACAAACCACTCCAAAGAGGGGTTTACACACTACCATGCTATTTAAACTATAGATGGAGGAAAATATATTAATTCATACCTAAGGAAGCAAAATGAATGAAATAGAATCAACCCAAATTTGAACTTGGCTCGGCAATTTTACTTTCTGCATTGTTAACAATTAAACTCACTGCACATTCGCTATAATGATGATAATGATGATACACCAGACATGGTTTTCATGGCTTCTGATCTTAATTGACTGGAAATGTTAACATGCATATGCTTTGGTGAATTAAGATGGGCTACAGTAAATATCTTTATCACAGATTTGCTTGCCAGTTGCTTGACCCTAACCAGTTGGGCATGTTCCTAAGGTCAACTGTGTATATCTGTTAATGAGCAGGAGTAGTGAGGGAGCATCATAGATGGGTGTTGAGAGAGTTGTTCTTTTTTATGTTTGAAGGATGAGGCAGATAAGGTAACTTTGGAACCACACCTAAATATTTAGGAACACTGTCAATTGAAGACAGCTTGAGTGAACTGGGATGTCTGACCTGAAGATATTTCTAACTGGGTCCCACCTGCAAGGTCATGCACTGTATTTATCAACATGTCACCAGATACTGCACATTAGGTTATAATGCATGTACCTTTCATACCCTTATTAGATTGTTATGATGGGTACATATTATATTTGTACCTGAGTGTAACTTGGTTGGTATACTGCTCTCTCTTCTTCAGTGTGACATGTCTCTTCTGGAAGTTGACAAATATGGCTCTCCACAACTTCCTTTCCTTCGTGGCTTTTAATAAATTTTGTCTTTTTGTTATCTCTCCTAAACCTTGTTCCGCCATCCAGTTACTCAAGCTCACTAAGTCGGTTATGCTTTGTTTTCAATCTGTCCTGTGAATATCAGATTTTCCAAGCCTTCTTTCATCATTATGCACCCTAGAAATTTTAACTGTTTCTTCCTGATGTTAAGTTTCTTTTTTTGTCTCCATTTACTCTAAAACTTTGTTGTTTGGTCCATATCCTCAGCCTCCTTCTGTAGAGCCACATTTCTGTTGCTTCACTTCTTCATCTGTGAGGAGATTGTCCAACATTCACTGCCATATAGGAGGACCAATATTATGTAACAGTTCAGCACTTTTTTCTTTGTTTCTAATGAATTTTTTATGTTTCTTAATACATTGCTTAGCTTTTAGAAGGCATCTTTGGCTATTCCAATGTGCCTTCAGATTTCAATGTTGCACTTTACATCCTCTGTTAAAACACTTTCTAGATATTTAAATTATTGTAATTTTTTGATTTTGGTATCTCCAATTTGTAATTTGCATGTTGGGCTGTCCCTTTTGCTAGCAAACATGCATTCCATCTTCTTGCTTTCTTTCAGTACCTTCTATAGGAGTTTTTGTAGCTTCCTTTTCATGTCTGCTATCAACACTGTATCATCTGCATATACTATGCTAAAATTGTGGCTGCCAATAATGAATCCTGGTAGGACTTCTAATTTTCTCAGAATTGCCCCACTGCATAGGTTGAATAAATCCAGTGAGAAGACACATCCTTGTCTTACACCCCTTTCTATTCTTGTATATTGGCTGAGCTCATTTTTTTAATCCATATGCAGGCAATTTGCTGCTAGTATATGTTCTCCATTATTCTAATATCCTTTCCAAATATGTCAAGGTTACTAAGCAGTTCCAACATTTTATTGTGACATACTTTATTAAATGCTTTTGCATAATTTATGAAACATGGGTTCACATCCTTCTGCATTTGTATTGCTCTTCCTCATATTATTCTGAGCATAAATATTGCATTCCTTGTTCCAGTGTCTTTAATGAATGTGTGTTGTTCTTTCTGATTTCTAGTCTGATTCTGTTGCACATCTGCTCTCTCTCTCAATAAAAAAATAATAATAGTGTGAAAAATGTGGCATAAGTAGATATCAATAATTCCAGTTGTGGTTGGAACCTTCAGTTTGATTGGAAATGGTTCTGATCAACTCATTGAATGGATGCCTAGTAGCCCATGCCTTAAAAAAATAAAAAAATTGTTCTTACAAGTATAGCTCACACCTTACGAAGGGCTTTAGCCATGTAAAATGTGTGTGCTCTTAAGTTGTTTTATTTTTATAAAAATGTTCAGTGGAAAATGCCATGATGCCATGTTTGACCTTAGGTCTCTGGTTGGGACCCAGAAGGAAATGAGTATACAACAAAAATCAAAAGAAATAATAATAGTAATAATAATAATCATAATATTTGTTTCTGTTTAAATTATAATCTAAGGTTTTGTATTTGCTTGAGAAAGCAGATGTTTTCAATTGAGTGATTAATTATATATTAGAATTTAAGAAAATTTAAAATACAAACATCAAAAATTAAAGATAAAAATATAAATAAATATTTATGAGGGGGCAACAAAAAATTCTTGGCTCAATAAAGAAGCCCTTCAAAAAAATCTGATTTGGTCAGATTTTTGGAAAGTGGGTTCGGTCAAGAATTTTTCAATACCCCCTTGAAGTTAATGAAATATAAGAGAGTAAAAGAATTCCACTCAAAAGAAAGAACTTTTTATAATCTCATAGCAATTCTTGAATCACAACAGAAATTACCTTGAACTGAATAAATGGTTGAAGGAGTAAAAAGATTGAAGGCCTGTATGTCACCACAAAATCCAAGAATTTCCAAAGTGAAAGAGTTCCTGGTAAAATAAAGAATTCAGCAATTAAAATTCAGTTTATATACAAACTAATCAAGTAGATCCATGTAGAAGTATAATTGATGTTCTAATCTGTCTATATTTTTTAAATGAGGTATTGTAACTATTTACGCTATTTACATTATTTGGACTATTGTCCTCATCTTTATTCTAGTATTAATGACGTTTCAGCTTTGTACACTCCATCCTTCTTCAGAATCTGTCTATATTTCTGAGATGAGGTATTGTAACTATTTACATTATTTATATTATTTGGACTGTTGTCCTCATCTTTATTGCCTTATTCATAATGTTTCAGTTTCAGTCATTGTATATTCAGGCCATCTTTAGGTGATATTTCTTGGAATTTTGAACCAAACCTTTTATTTAGACCACAGGGGTAGATTGTTCTAATTCCACATGTCATGCCTTTGGATATCTCTGTTTCAATTAATTCCCCTTTATAACTCAACTCTCCAAATTTTGTTCCTTCTGCTGTGGCAAGGTATTGAACTCACAACTCTTTGGGTCAAGTCACTTTCAGATCAACCAATCAATGCTTTTATCCACTAGGCCACCTGATATATAAAGCTCAAAATTTGTGCATGTGTGTGTATTCACTTAAAACCATGAAAATGATTAATTGATTGATTTAATTTTTACAGCTCATCAACCTTTTGCAGATTATTTAAAGCCTAAAAATATTTTTAGATAGTAAAACTTTTTCTGGAGATAATAGCGATTTACTGATACAAGTTGTACTAATTAACCCGTAGCTGGGAGGAGAGATGGTGGATTTATACTTTTCCCAACAGTATTTGCAGGTAAGTAAATATAACTAACCCAACTGGCAGCCCATCAAATTCCAATTTTGAGCTGTTATCCATTACACCACCTGCACATCCAAGCTTACAGTACCTGTATTCTCAAGTGGACACCCATCTAAGTACTGACCTGGCTCAATATTGCTTAACTTCTGTGATTGTATAAGAGCCAGTGTTTCAACATATGTGGCCATAAACTGAAAATTAATGAAAAATCTGTTATGCGTGCACCTGTTATGTTTCTCTCTCCACTATATATATATATATATATATATATATATATATATATATATATATATTTTATATATATTATGCAATTTTTATATATTATTTATATATATATGTGCGGTACTTATTGGAAAGCTCTCAATATCAATGATAGACCTAACATATTTGCGATAACATGAAACCCAAGGTCACAAACTCACATCAATCCAACTTATATATATATATATATATATATATATATATATATAAAAGACTGACACCACTAATAGAACCATTATTAGTCTGAAGAAGATCTGATACATTTACTTATTAATATATATTCTTGATTATTTTTTAAAAAATTGTATATATTATGAAAATAAATCTGCTAAACACTTATGAAAGTATATGGGAGTTTTTCTTTTTTCATTTTGTCATTCAGTTACACACTCTTAGTCTATTATATAGGTCTATATATCCTATTTTAGAAAGATAAGTGGCTTATGACCAAATCATGTTGAAACACCAGTTCCCCTATGATAACTGAAATTAAGCAATGTTGAGTCTGGTCAATTGCTAGATGAGTGACCGCTTGGGAATATCAAGCGCTATAAGCTTGGATGTGTGGGTGGTGTAATGGATAATGACTCAGGATTGTTAACCAGAGAGCCAAGTTCCAATTCCTGTTGGGTTCATGATATTCACTTAGACACAAAAACCTTTGGGAAAGGTATGAATTCACCTATTCTCACCCCAACTATGGGTTAATTAATAAAACTTGCATGACTAAACAATTATTATCTCCAAAAACAAACATTTTTACAATCTAAAAATATTTTCTGACTTTAAATAACTTGCAAAGGGTTGATGAGCTGTAGAAAATGATTCAAACAATTAGATAGATATATAGATTAATATATCATATCTTTGATTACAAGAAATTTAAGCTGCTTAAGTGTGCATCGTCTGTTTTTCTGAGAGAAAGCAGATGCTGTGTTGGGCTCTTGCTTAGTTTTTAAATTTCAAAAATATTTTTGGTACATTTTGACTTGTGGAAAAACAACTGTGAAGTGAATTTGGAGTCTATCTGTAGTTAATAAAAGAGTTAATTCAAGAAGTCGAAGAACATCTGCTGCTGGAATCCAGGTCACCCCAGTCCAGAAAGAAAACCAATGCAGAAGAAATTTGACAACTGCCGGACAAGAATTGAAAGGAACACCAAAGTTGCTCCCACATCAAGGAAAAGTCTTCAGCTGGTGTGATTGTTCTATTCTTCATTGTTACCATGAACTTCCCTTCAAAAATTGTACCAATTCTTTGAAAACTATTCAGAAGTATTTTCTCTTTTTCTACATTTTAAATGTAGTGTTTTATTTTCTGAGGACCTTATGCAGCAGTATAAGTTTTATTGTAAAAGCACATATTTCATTTGCACTGATAATTTACGTACATTATTGGCACTCACTTAGCACATAATGCACTTAATTTGTGTAATTCATTATTTTGTGTTTTTATAATAAATTTATTGTTTGTTCTTAAATTCAGCGTGTGTTGTCTGTCTTGTTGAGTACTCATATAAATTAAATGTTACCTCAAACATTTGTTTGAGCTACTTTTTTTATAAGGTTTTTTACTAAATTAAGATAGGTTTTTATATCTGCGATAGATTTATAAGACAAATTTTAGATAGATATATAGGTTTATATGTCATATCTTCAATTGATAGATATATAAGTTTATGTTATATCTTTGACAGATAAGTTTATATGTCATATCATTATCTTGTAGTAGGATAAGGTTCTTCTCTTATACACATACTTCCTTTCTTTTCCTTCTATTGTTCCTATACTCAGTAACTGACAGAACCTGGACATAACTTCTGTGGGTCAATGCACATCATGAAAAATCAACCAATGACAACACGTCCCACCAAAAATCAAACAGAAAACACTGATGTGTCAGGCCAAATAAAAAGTAAAAACCATGTACACACCACAAGAAGTGGGAAATTGGTTTGATGTAGCAGTTTGAGACATAAGGGTTGGAGATTCATCCGCTGTGCGTTTGACCGGACATACAACTCCAGAAGAAAGAGGATGAATTCAACAAATGAATTTCTGTCAACCAAAAATACAACGACCCCGTATGAACACTTAAACCACAAAGGGACTAAGACAATAGTCACCCACTTTAACCACTGTAATCACATGGAGTCAATAGTAAAAATGGTACTATAGACAATAAACTTGGCCTTTACTGATGTATTAGTCCAACCTTCATCTCTATATATCATATTTTAGATAGATTGATAGGTTTATAAGTCATATCTTAGATAGATTGGCATCTCATATCTTCTATACATTTTAATTTAGTACCATAAATATATTGAGAAAAGATATCTTATTACTTCTAGTGTAAATATCCATGATAAATAAATCAATTTAATAAGCTCTATAATTTAATGATTGATACAATGATTGATTATATGAATATTTAGTATATAGATTAAGTAGAATACATTTTTAATCTAGTATAGTAAAATTATTGACTAAAGAATTCTTACCTTTAGTTTTAGTGCTAATATCCATGATAAATTTGGCGACATGGTGCCATTCTGCAGCAAGCATTTTATCAAAGCAGACCATTAATACTTGCAGCCCTGAAAGACAAAAAAAACCCCAGAGAAATCAAGTTATTACACTAAACAGTATAATTTGCTTACATAAATTCATCATATTTCTTAATTCATTTCATATTAAATTGGATATCGTACGATTGAAAGTAAATTATAAAGACTGACCTAAATAAGCAGTTTGTTCTTGTAATTCAAAACAGCCTTGCTTGGTGGAGTATTTGTCTGGCTGATTGAAACTGTCGGACTGGCCTTGCTCACCTATGTTGAGCTGGTGGCTGCAGGACTTTGCGTTTGATTGGCTTGTTTGCTTCATTTGAGGATTTAAGGCATGAAGAACCACCGACAGGGCAAACCTGATGTCAGCATGGAGCAGCCGGGGAGTGTCTAATAAGAAAACAGATAAGATATAAAAGGAATATTTCTCTATACATTTCATACTAATTATTAATTTAATTGTGACACTATGTGAAACTGGTAAAAAGGAAAAGATATGCTTAATTTAGAATATGACTTGGAACAAATGAAAAGGATTAAAAATACGGAATAACATATAGACTGAAAGAAGGAAGGAAAATGTCTTTATTGTTTTGTGAAAAGATATTATCGAAGGGCTATCTGGAAAATTTAAACCCACAAAGATTGGGGAGAAATAGTGAAAATACATTCAAAGTCAGTTGAGAATTTTGCTAAACAATGTAGAAATAGAGAAATCAATTTATGACTGCTTATTAAAGTGCAAATAAAAACATGTCTCATGATTACCAGGTGAAACAAGGGGTCAATTGAGTATAGTATTTGATAATTTTGAGGACAAAGGCAGAATTAAGAGATTGACTTATGCTTGTCTGTCAGCAAGTGGAAATGGCCTCGCTGATTTTGGACATGTAAACAAGTTGAAAAATAGGATTTTATCCTGCATTGAAAGAATTCAGATAGTGAATGGATCTGTGGGATTCATGAATACTATTAAGTGTAAAAGCCGATTGCAAAAACATGACCAGTTGTCAAAAATTAAAAAGATAATTACAATTAAAGACTAAAAGTTAAGACTGTCTTTTTACTCAGCCTGTTTGAAAGTCAGGGTTGACAGCTGAAGTGGCAGGTTTAGATGAGATACCAAGAAAGATGGAGAAATTATCTCTGCCCATTTGGAAGTAATGGTGTGAGGCAGAGATAAAACAGGGAATGAGTTATATGGGCAGACCAATACCTGCAACCACTACCCGGAGGAGGAGGAGGATCTCCCAAATTTGGAGAGATAATTAATATTACAAACCAGATAACAAAGAATCTTTGTTCAAATCACACAGAATCATACATTTGGGTTTTTTGTGGAAACCCCAAATTCCCAAGCACTGTCAACCCCAATCTGATTCTGAGTCAAAGACAATATAAGCGAAGCACTTGTGCAACCCAGGCAGTTGGAGCCAGAGATGGCAAGAGATGTAAACAAGATGAGACAGCAGTGGACAAAGGAAATGCTGAAACCCATGTGACCTGCTGCCAAGAGAATTTCTGACTGATCCCTGTTACAAGAATTTGCACCAATAGGCAAAGTGTCATTAAAGAAATTTTAGTGGGAAGGGTTAATTTTTGTTATAGCAAGAATTACATAAACTAAATAGAAAATTGACTTGAAAACCTGTTTTGTTTTTATTTTGTCTGCAAAGATATTTCTATTTTTCTCCCATCATAGCACAGGCTCGCTGTGGTTTAAATCAGTGCTACAATACTAATGATTAATCGATCTCTAGTAGCTCTGTGATCAAGAAACACAATGTGGGTGGAGTAAGGTGTGAACCAAAGTGAACAGTGATCAACATTGACCCATGACAGTACAGAACAGTGTGGGATTGACCCTGCAATCAACTCATTGTCATAAAATCTGAGAACCAAGACATCTTCTGGTATAGGCAGCGTGTGGCAAGGATCAAAACGTCTGGTCACTGCTGACCAGGCTAACCCAGAATTGACCACCAGGTTAAGTGTTATATAATATATAAAGCTCAAAGTTTGTGCAGATGTTTGCTTGAAACCTTGAAAATTAACTAAATATATAAAATTATGTGGAGCGTGTATGTGTGGAAATAATACATACATCAAATAAACGAGCTTTAATTGTTTATATCTACCAGCATATGCCTTATATCTTGACCAGCTTAGTGGTTTTTACTTAATTGAGATAGCTAATTTACATATTCACCTTAAAGAATTAAAATTATTATTCATTTCGAATCTGTTTTTTTATCTTCATAAATAATTGATTCTTTTGTTAATGGTTCTTCAATTTAAATTACTTAATTATTCAAATAAAGCATTTTTTTGGCTCTGAGAATGGTAATGACTTCAGCATTTAGATCACAGCTTTAGAGTCAGAGGAAGTAAACATAAAAGGGTAGCTAGTAATGTTAATTTTTTAATAGTATATTTGGAAAATCTAATGATTACTATAAATTATAATATTATAACATGTATATTAAATAAATAACGAAGCACATATGATGCAACTAATAAAAAGATTATTGTTTATATACATTCAACATTATGCAGTGAAAATTTATGATGTATGTAGAACAATCAAATTCATTTAAAAAAAACAATCAGTTATTAATAATGATAGGAATCACTTTTTGACTTAAAATGTTGTTTCAGAAAGCTTTTGAAAATGTTATTGGAATTTGGGAAAAATAGTATTTAATATTTCTGAAATAATTTCATGTTGTAAACTTAATGCATGAATATATTTTATTAAAATATGTAAAATAAAAATTGAGCTTATAAACAAACACATTTAAAAAAAATAAAAGAGAGTAGGAACAATGAGTCAGTTATTATAGTTGAAAGGAATATTTTGGCTGGGCATGGGGACATTTTTAAGGTGTGGGTTGCATGAGATATGATTCATCATGAGGATGCACTTAAAAAAATTCCAGATAATTTTTTTTTTAAAGTTATCTCAGTCATTTTCACTACAGAAGGTCATATGTGTAAGAATCTACCTTAGACATAGTAAAAGTTGATTTTCTTTGGAGAAAGGATTTTTTCCTATAATTAAAAAATTGAAGTATTGATATAATATCAGTGATGACAGTGTGATTTGTTTCTAATTTATTCATTTGACTATAAAAAAGATATTTAGAAAATAAAAATATATTTCTTATCCATAGAAAAAATATTATGGACATTTCCTGTTTTTAAAGCAAAAGATGTATGATCTTCCATAGTGAAAATTGACAATGATTTAAAATGCTGAAAACATTACCTTCAATGAAAGGTTAAAATATTCATGAAATATTGTATTTAATTATTGTTATATTATGTGATTACATGTGAGAAAGTATGAGTGAACAAGTGAGAATGAAATGAAACAAGTATTAAGAAAATGTTATTTTCTTCAAGAAATTAGGTGTGTCATTTAGAAAGCCAGTTTGCCAATGACCAATTTAGGTTTGGGAACAAAAGAAGTAGTAAAAAGAATCTAACCTCGTCTTCCATAGCCAGTCCTTATGCAGAGAGGTAAGATAAAATCAACAAGTATATTCAGACAAGTTTCAATTGAGGGAAAAACGGAAACTCCACCACAGATCTGTTCTAATGAAAATTGTGCCTACAAAATAAGTGGAAAGAATAAAACATAAATGGCTTTTTTATTTTAAGGATTTTAAGACTTTATAATACCTACCTGTGTTCCTGAATTCGATAATTATAAATGATATGTCCCGGAAAGGGATATATTTGTTCAAAGTAGCAAAGTGGTTGTTGACTACTGTAACTGGGTAGGACAATCTAGCAGGTAACCATAATGGACTGGTCCTCATTGTAGTGGTAGGCAATAGGCGTAGCCAATAGGCATCGTCTTGTACCTCCACATCAGTCTGTATTTATGGCTGACATCAGCCAATCATATTACTGTGATGGAGAACCCAGGTGTATGCATATTCATTACATCAATAAATAACAATAATTATTAAACAACTGCTAAATATAAACATAATTTCTATTCTAATAGTTTCTTCTCTCACATTTCCTGCCTGTAGAACTCTCTTCCAGCTTCTTAGTTTCCTGTCAGCTATAATCTTCAAAAATTTAAATGCAACATCAATCATCATCATTTGTCTTTTTAAATACTATTCTAGTTATTATCCTTTCTCCTTAGTAATGTTTCACTCTTAGTAATGCCTTTTGTCTTAGTGACTGTATTCCTGAATTGGGTAACTATAAATAACAATAATTATTAAACAGTTGCTAAGTGTAACTAAGTTCTATTCTAATAGTTTCTTGTCATGCACTTCTTGCCTGTGCAACTTTCTTCTAGCTTCTTGCTTTCTTGTCAACTATAAACTTCAAAAATTTAATTGCAACATCAATCATCATCTGTCTCCTTGAATCCTGTTCTTTTTATTGTCTTTTCTCCTTGGTAATGTTTTCTCAATTTCCTTCACTCTCAGCAACCGCTTGCATTTTAGTGGCTTTGTCTCCTTGCTTAGGGTGAAATGATGAATAACAAATGCCAATATCAATTTATATTTAGCACACTGAAGGTACCGTATTTTATCAAATCTTGTCATCAAAATAAATTTTTTCATTGAAAAGTTTACATTTTTTAATAAAGATGTATTTATTTATTTATAGTTTTCATTAATTAATCTTTTGTTTCAGTTTTCCATTTTTATATGTTATTTCTAAAAGTTATATTTTTAATTATATAATTTTGTTTTCAAATTTTTTATGCAGCTCTTGTTTATGAGGGTATGTTGTTTATCTGTTTTACTTATCTGAGTTTATAATAAGTTTCTGTTGAGTGAAAGAGGAAACAATACTTAATGAATTTTTATATAGTAAAGACAAGACAGTTAACAATGTCATATAATGGAAATGTGACAAGTAGTCAACATGCAAGAGCTGAATGTTTACATAAGAAAATGAGATTTAACACCCATTGAAGATGCTGTACCTGGAAGACACATAAGAGCTGCTAACTCCAATCAATAAACATCAACTACTACCCAGAGAAATAAAAAAAAAAGATTAAAATTAAAATAAAGCAAAAAATTGTTCATTAAAAAAAAAAAATGGACATCTTATTTTTGATGAAAAGTTGTTTCATAAAAACATATTTAAGAATAGATCTGTTGTAACCTAGAAAAGGTTACTGAATAAGAATAACCAAAACAAAGGTTGGAAATGGAACGGTAATCTTTATAACATGAATAACATACAAGTTTTGCCAGTTGTGTGTAGTAATTAATCCACTACTAGTGGTGAGTTCTTCCCAGACAGTATATTCCACTGTATTTATGAGGGTGGGGACATACCCATTATAGTTCATAGGGACAGTATAACAAAATCATGTAACAATTTCTTTTAAAATTTGAAAGATTTATATTGGAAGATGAATTTTAGTAGTTTATAATGTTACAGAATGGTGGCCAATAAAAGTAAGAGGCCAACATGTGAATTACAAATTGAAGACACCAAAATCAAGTAAGTATAAAAATTTAAATAAATACAAAATGTTTTTACAGAGAATGGATGAAAAATGTAACACTGAAATCCGAAGGTGAATTGGAATAACAAAAGATGCTTTCCAAAAGCTAAACAAAGTATTAAGAAACAGGAAAACCATTTACACAATCTCATTAGGTAGGTTATTTGCCGCTTTCATCTGTTCCTGTTGCCTTTAATATGCCTAGAAAGTGTCAGGTTCTCCATGTCTTCTTTTCTCATTATATTCTTAGAAATTTCAATTATCTCTTTCTGATTCTAAGTATCATTTTTGTTTCTATTTTCTCTAAAACTTCATTGTTGCTCACATGTTCAGTCCATGGTATTCTCAGCATCCTTCTGTAGGATCACATTTTGTTGCTTCAAGTCTCTTCTTCGTCTGTGAGGAGATTATCCAGCATTCACTGTCATATAGTAGGACTGATATTACATAAAAGTTTAGTACTCTTTTCTTTGTTTCCAATGAAATTTTCCTGTTTCTTAATACTAACTTTTGGAAGACATCTTTTGCTATTCCAATATGCATTCTGTCCTCTTCTAAAACACTTCCTAGATATTTAAATTGTTGCGTGAATTGAAAATGATTTGCACATAAATACAAAAACACAAAATTAAAATCAGAAAGAAAAATGGTTTTACCCCCAAAACTTGTATCTGCATTGCAACCAGTTTTATTACAGCTGAACAGAAAACAGATGGAGCAGGTAAAGAGTTCTGACTTTGATCACTTTTGTGGCTTCCATAAAATGTTGGCCCAAGGTGGTCCTGATTGGTACCTGTGCTTCCAGACAATATCAAGCCAATCAGTACATTGATGAGTGTCTATACAGAAAAGAAAAAAAAGTTTTAATACAATAAATTTATTTAATAACTAGCAGCCATACCCAGCTGATCAATCAGAAAAAGCATTCAATTAGAATGAAGCAAAAACAGCATTACATTTAAATGTAACAGAGTCTATCATCTTCAATTACTTTAAAGTACTGTAATTAAAAAAACATTTTGAATTAATGCAGTTACTGGTATAACAGAAGTAGTCTGTATTTATTCAATTGAAGTTAGCTGAGGACATGAAGTGGTAAAACAGGCAACATGAAGACCTACTTCAGATGACAATTATTTTGGAGTTTTTGAAATTCAATTTTGTCAGTGTGCTACCAGGGATGTAAAAGAGGATACATTTATAAAGTAATTGTTAAGTTTGATGTTTTAAAATTGGTTGAAAGATCAATGAAAAATAAGAAAGAAACCAGTAAAAATCACTATTTACGTGGGTTTTCACTATATGGGTGAACTAAATTATCAAGTTAAAGGTCTGTTACACAATCAACTTATTGTTGGCTACAATTGAGTGAAGTTTGTATTAGATTGCTTGAAAATTGAGTGAGTTTTTAGTTTAAAATTTGTGCCAAAATCGATTTGTGCTGAAATGAAATTTTTGTTTTTTGTATTTTTTGCTAAATGCAGTGGCATAGAAATAAAAACGAGGTATTGTTAAGCTTGTCATGATGTAAGTAACCTACATACTGAGTTTGAACAAAATCAGAGGAAAAAAAGTTGAATTTATCAATTTTTGATCAGCGTTATTGATTTTTTTTTTTAAATTATTGATTTTTATTAAGAACCTATTTTAAAAAATTAGTTTGGTCAAAATTTTTTATGCAATCAGACAGACATCCTTTGTTTTTATATATATATATATATATAGATTGATAGATAGATACATAAATATATGCTTTAGAATTAAAAACCTTGAAAATAGTGATGGATTCTCAGATGAATAAAAAAAAAAGGTATCACACAAAAAAAAAAAATATATATATATATATTTATATATCTTTATAAATATTATTTAAAATATATATATAAATATGGATACAAATTTAAAATATATACTTTTAGATTTTTGAAACATGGTTAAACTGTGTAGCGAAAAAAAAAAAATAAATCAATTAAAATGATTCCTGTAAAGATTGAATATTTTGTAAAAATAAAATATCTTTAGATTATATCTTGCTACCTTTCTTTTATTTTATATATATATATATATAAATATATATATATATATATAAATAGAATTGCCTGCATGAGAATAAAGAAAATAAGCAAAAAAAAAAAAACATGATTGACTGGAAAGTTTTGGGTAATTACTAACTAACCAGATCTTTTTGCTCTCTCATGGTTTCTTTGTTTTTCTATTTTGCTTATTTCTTCCTTCTTATGTATGCAAGAGTGCACAAGGGCAACCTCCTCTTTGCTTCAAGGACATCTTCAAAAGGGACATGTGGGAAACAGACATTCAGAAGTGGGAAGACATTGCCAATGATTGCTCATACTGGAGACATGATTTACAATGAGGGCTAGAACAAGAAATGAAGGCTTGCCACCAGCGAGAAGCATACTCAATGGAAAGAAAACAACAAGGAAATATCAGGGAAGAATGTCTTCACATGTTCATTGCAATTGAGACTCACACGTGGGCCTGTGCAGCCATAACAGATGCTGTGAGACCATCAGCAGCTGAGGCATAACTCTTTGGGCATAGATCCAAACTCTCTTGAGACCAACAAATGCCACATATATAGGCAATTCTATTTCCTTCACCATGAATTAAGGTATACACTTGTTTCTTTATTATTTACTGAACAGTCTGAAGATTGCTTTATAACATGAAACTTGAAGTTACGGTAAAGTCTTGTATCTGATGATTTTAGATCAAATATGTTTCTACAGAATTATAATCAATATTAAAACCTTTTTCAGGTTATCATTTTACTTAATTATCACAAACTGTAAGTTAATTATATCTATGAAACTTGTATAAATTGTTTGATTTTTTATCCCAATCTTGATACCATAATTCGTTAGGAAGTACATTTGAGAATTTTTTGAAATGAAAACTTACCTTCAGGTGAGTAAGATGAGCAATGAAATTATGTTTTCGTAAAGTCAGGTAGACACCTAGAATTGAAAAAGAAAAAAAAAATATCCCACTGAATATAAATCTTAGAAGATGAAAAAATATTATCAAGAATTCACAGAAATACATTGTTTTTTATTAGATTATCTTAATAACATCAATTTTCCTTCATTCAATCTAAGTATCCTTAGAGAATTTCAATTTCTAAAAACAAAATTTTCATTGTTTTTTTTTTTCCTCCACTGGCATGAAGTGGCATGATTACATTGAATCAATTGCTACATCTACTCCTAGGAAAGTTGGTTCACTGTTTCCTGCCAGAAAATCTTTCTCCAGAATCCATCTTGCACATTTATAAATCTACCATTAATCCATGCATTAAATACTGTTGCCATATCTTCCTTTTTCTTTTGCCTTGACTGATGGGCTTCTTTGACTTTTTGTGGGTGGAGGCATCTCTTCTTGTTTTTTGGGGGATGGACTGGGATTAGGTTTTGGAGTGTGCATTTTTTTTCATGGGATCTCTGCTGAGCAAGATAGTTTTGTAGGGAAAGGAGAGTGTAGATGATGATGATGATTCGTGCTGTGATTTTGCTACAGGGGAGGATGGGGTAGAAACCGAGGGGCATGATGCCATTTTGGAAGGTGATGAATTACTGAAGATTTGTTTCTCTAATTTTGCTTTAAGTTTCATAATCCTTTCCTTTTTTTTTCATAGCCAGGGTAATATTTTCATTGCAGATCTTGAAAAGGGGCCTTCTCTGTTAATGTTATTTTCAAACAAATCAAATTTAGATAAAAGTTCATTAACTTTTTTTTCAAATTATTATTAATAAAAAGTAAATAAACATAAACTAAAATATATTTAAGCCTTATTTCTTCAAAAAAATAATTATTTACTGTTTATTTTGGAGGGGAATTTAGATTTTTTTTAAGTAAATAAAATTTTACTTTTAAACATTAATTACTATTTTGAAAGAGTAGAAGCAAGATACATTGAGAATTTTGTTTTGAAAAGCAATTAAGTTTTATTTTCAAGTAATGTGTATTTGAAATGAAAAAACTTTAGTTAAATAAAAATTAGGAGAGACAGGCATTACTTACAGTCAACATTAGTCATGTTGAATATTTGTTTTATGAATCTAAAAATTTTCGAAAAAATAAGGCTCACTATAGTTTTTTGCTTTAATAAAATTTAATTGAAGATTATTTACTTTTTTATGTTAGTTACAAACCAAAAAAACAATGAAGTTTATATTTTAAAGATTGAATAAAAAGCTTATTTTCCATAAGATGGCCAAAAAATATTAATAGGCCTATAATACATATACACACACATATATAGGCAACTGCCCTTTAGGGTGATACTGAGTATGTATATTTATTTTGTAGCCGGACACACACACAAATATTTGAATAAATAAATATTGAACTTATGGTCAAATAATTTATATGGTAGTAAAGGATAAGTCTCTTCATCCCATTGGGGTTTATGTGCCCAATATCTATGCAGTGTTAAATACAGAGTTGAAAATTTTAACCAAGATCTCAGCCAGCCATTTGCAGGCTGTCCTGTCTAGTCTGATTGGCTCTGAGCAAACTTGTGATGTGAAGGGCAGGACTACTCAGGACAATTTTCATTTTCCATGCTTGATCATCAAGCAAGTTAACAGTGAAGCTACACTGATCAATTTAGATCAGTCCAAAACATTCAATAGGGTTGACCATTTTTTAATGGCTGTCCTTTTGGCCACCAGTTTCAGGGTGTATATTCGCACTTGGATCAGACTTCTGCACATATCCCCTGGTGTGCTGGTGGAAGTGAATGGGGTACAATCAGAGCTTTTCACATTGTCTCGTTCTATTCATAAGGGTTGTCCACTTTCTCTTTTGCTTTACATTCTTGCATTGGTACCTTTTCTTTGCAAGTTAAAGGCAAATCCAGTCCTATGTGGAATCTCCTTACCTGGTGCTACCATCTCGGCCAGGTACTCCGCCTATGTTGATGACATTTCAGTTCTTGTATCAAGCAGAGCAGAGATTGACAAAGTTAGCAAAGAGATCAGAGGGTAGGAGATGGTCATAGGGGCCAAGATCAATTGCATTAAGTCTGTTGGCTTGCGGGTAGATGTGTGAAAGGGAGTTTCTCTTCCCGAGCCTTTCCTCTGGACAGATGGATCAGTTAAGATACTTGCCATCTGGTTCAGTCCTGATCTCCTGTTGGAAATTAATTGGTTGTTGGTATGGGAAAAGGTCAAGGTTGCAGTTTGTCTGTGGACCTTTCAAAGGGCCCTTCAGTTAATGCTTTTTTCAGTCTGGTCTCTATCATGTGCTTGTCCAACTGGTCCTTGTCACTCATTTCAGGGTAGAGGTCAAGCACATCTCCTTGTGGAAAAAATGAAAGGTAACTAGCAAGGTCTGTAACTTTTTGAAGCTTGGAGACCAATTTCACTTTCTTTATCTGTGTGACTATATCACCTTCTTTGGTAAACGGTGATATCGCATCTCTACCCAATTTCACAATTCCAGACTTCATATTGCTGAAATAGCTTGTGTTTAGCCTCATTGTGTTCAGGAGAGGTGTTTTGTGTTTAGCCTCATTGTGTTCAGGAGAGGAGTTTTGTGATAAGCCTCACTGTTTTTAGTAAGGAAATTTTTGTGATTATTTCTGTGTTCAGAAGGGGAATTTTGTGATAAGCCTTTTTGTAGGTGGGTTTCATTTTTAGCCTCATTGTATTCAGAATTTTATTAAAAAGAAATATATGAGAAAATATAGTTTCAATTTTCTAGAAAATAAAAGATAAAAAGTTAAAGTATAGAAAAAAGAGAAAACTTGTCAAACCTTTCAACAAATTGGCAGCAGCCTCCCAATCAACTTGTCTCTGAAAAAATGAATGCAAATAAAAATATTTTTATAAGAATTTTATAATACTGAAAATGGCCATAATTAAATGGTTGGGTTTTGTCCAGTTTAATAACACTTAATGTAGATTGTTTTTATATTACAATAAGAAGACATTGGATGTGTGCAGTGAAACGTATATTATCTTGGGAAGTGGAATTGGAAAGCCAAGTTAAAATTCTAGACTAGTCTCTTGCATTCATTTTCACACAAATACCTTTGGGAAAGGTAACAGGAAACCACTACACTATCTTTTTCAGGAATATATTGCAATTCCCAAATAAAAAAAAGAAGGAATCTGTGGAGAGTCACAATCACCTACATCCCAAAGGGATATGGCATTTAAAAAAAGGTTGTAAATTTGTTAATGTTTATTAATTGCATATGAATACTGTTTATTGAGTTAATCACCAGTCTAATTTATTTTTGCTATTCTATCATACAATAAAGAGATCAAAAGATGACATGATTATTATTGTTATAATGAGCTGGCAATAATTTTCATATAAATTATCCATTTAATTACTTATTTATAAATATCAAATTATTCACCTGGTCCACTTTGTTGTGTTGGACAATTTTTTTTCGACAGAATTTATTGTACAAATTTGTAAGTCTACCATTCACCAATGCATTGAATATTGCTGTCACAACTTGTCTGGTATTTCTGCTATGTATTTAGAGATTCTTGATAAAATTTAAAGAAGAATCTGCAATGCTATAAGTCCTGACCTGGCATCTCAGCTTAAGTCATTTCTCCACTGCCATAACATAGCTTCCCTCTGCATTTTCTATAAATATTTTCATGGTAATTGTTCTGATGACTCCCCCCCCCCCCAGCTATGGGTAAATAGTAGGACAGACTGGGTTCTATAGCCTTGGATGGCAACTGGTTTACCGCAGAAAGAAATGACAACCTAATGCAGGAATAAAAATCTGCCTCGTCAGTCATGTATCAAAAGATACATGATTGCCTAAGCGTGTATCATGCATGGCACATAACTGAATGATGAGCCTTCATCTTTGGTACCTAGATCTTACAAATATAACTGTAGTACTAGATAGGTGGCTAGATGTAATCGTGAGTTCTATGCTAATAGTTTCTTCTCTTGCACTTTTCACTTGTGGAACTCACTTCCAGCCTTTTGCTTTCCATCTTTGATCTTCAAAAATTTAAATCCAATGTCAATCATTATCTACTATCTTCTTAATTCCTATTCTTTTATTGAACTCATTAATAATGCTTTCTTTTTCTCATATTTTTTTACACTCAGTAACCACTTATGGCTTTATTGCCTTGCTTGGGGTTTCACTTGAAGCAAGGCAATAAAGCTACTAAGACATAAAAAATAAATAAATAAAAATGTTTTAAATGTCTTCAGTGGCAATAATATTTGAATAATAATAATTATAAATTACAAATACATTTAAAAAAAATCAACATTTTTTTTAAGAAAGTAGAAGCACATTAGTCATTGAAATATTCTGAAATTAAATTTCTTAGTTAATTTAACCATAAAACAGTAAAAATATTACACTGAATAAATATAAAAACTGGTAACAACATTGAAGATATTTGATTTATACAATATACTATGGACTTAATGGGAACAGTTTCTAAATTACATATTTAATATTAAAGCAAAAACAATTTAAATTACAATTATTTTGACTGTGACAAATTTTATTATCACTTAGAAAAAGTCCATTTTAATCAATTATCTTTCCAAATGATTAAAAACTTAATAATTTTTATAAATATTTCATCACTATTCAGATTAGTTCATAAAATCACAAGACAATTTTTTTTTTATTTGTGTTTCTGTAAAGCAAATTAAAATTTGTTAATGCAATATTGAATAAATTATAATGATTTTTATACAAATATTGACTCCATTATGCTATCATGCATTAAACTGGACAGAGATTCAACCTGCAAGGAACATGAACAATTAATGTAAAGCAATAAAAAGATAATGAAAAGTGCAAAAATAGATAATGGAAAAAAAACCTTCACCAATTAATTCCAAATCTTGAAATATATTGAGTCTATTATTTTTAACATTTGATCCATTGGCCTTTGATTTTCTTGACATATTTTAAATCATTTATTTTTGATTAAAGCTAATCAAATTCACTGGACTTGTACTCGAGAAGACATGTTCAGAAAGAGAAAAGAGTCAAGGTAATAAACATTGAATAATTGTTTTTTTTGTAGATGATTGGTGAAAGGCATAAATCTATTTTGTTACAAACATGCTGAGAAGAGAATCAAGCAAGTCAATGAGACAAAGGAAGGCAAAGATAATATTCTTGAAGGGTTCTTTGAATTTTTTTTTAATAGTGATAGAAGACAAATACTTATTAAACAATAACTGAGAAATAGCTAACTGCAGAGAAATCTTTACTAGAATATTTTTGCAACACACAGTATTCAGTATTGTTGAAGTTATTACTACCATTTTTTTGTTGAGATTTACAAACTCTACATTTTGTTCAAATTCACAAACCAATTGATGAAATTTGAATAAGCTGATTTCTTTGGAAAAATACTTTGACAAAACTCTACTTCACGGTTTAATAATTTCTTTAATTTAATTTTATAGGACTTCATGGCAAACAATAATTTTTAAGCATATTTTTTTTATCCTTTTTGACAGCAAAGAATAAATTCTTAGGATTTCTTGACCATGCAACATACAACTGGCCATGCATAAATATTTCTTTCTGGAGCCAAATTTCAACTTTTTGATGCATTTGGCCTTGTGATTTCTTTATAGTTCTCCCATATGCAGGGCAAACTGAAAACTGATTTCTTGTATATAAAACAATATTGCATTTTTATTAAATAAGTACTTGTTATTTTAATCATTAAATTGTTTTTAAAATAGTGAGTGCATTTTACATGTTAAATAATAAAACTTTAAATTTCCCCCCCAAAATTACTGAAAATTTATTGTACAAAGCTACACACCCTAGAAAAAACCAACTGTACTTTGTACCCCTTTACCTGTTTGCACTTCACCCCAAAATTTGGTTTCAATCAGTTAATGTATAGCTAATTTAGAGGGTGTAAGGGATGGACTAACTGAAATCACAGAATTTTATATATAGATGTACTGCCTCTTGATATGCAACTGTTTTGCCTGTATGCATACCTCAGATAGCCAGGTAAACACCTTAAGGCAGTAAAAATTCTGAGGACAAAGGTTTATTGAAAATTGACAGGATGAAACAGTGATGCTATCATTGGAGGTAGATTTAGAAGGACAAGAAAGTAGGAACCGCGTGCTTTGACCCTGTGTTTTATTGTGGTGGGTTCCGGTAATTACTATGGGCTAAACAGGAAGTCATTAAAAATGGTGACTAATCTAAAATCTATCTAAATTAAAAAATGACACTCTCCATGGTTGAGCTGTCTAAAGCATGCTGGATCAAAGTGTTTTCTCTTATAAAGGGAGATGCAGGTTCGAACACTGTCAGAAGTTTTCTTGAATGTGCAGACCGATAAACATAATACATAATGGAGCATCTATTTCAAACACCAGTATCCACTAAAAATAATGTTTGACGTAATAAAAATGACTTATGTATATTCATGTACTGCATATAAAATAAACGTTCATTTCATTTTTGGTGTTCATCTCTTTGCATTATTTTAGTCTTCCCTTCTATTTTGTTAAGGTGTTATATCATAGATAAACTAGTGCCTATATTGGACCTTGGAGCATAGAGAAGACCAAGATATTTCCTCTCTTTTCAAGTGCCACATTATAGCAAAAAGACAGGAGGCAATAAAAACTAAACAAGAGAAAGAACTAATAAAAGAGAAGAAATTATTAATGTTAAAGATTTAGTTAAAATTGATGGTAAATGACTGAAAGAGGGGTTCGAACATTTCCATCTTGGCTAAGAAATGTAAAATTTATTAAAAAATATGCTCATCAAGGATGAGGATATTAGCCCTGTTTCATAAGTTATGGTTAGCAGGATTATCCCCCCTTTGTTTGTATATAATAATTTGTAACTGTTTCCTTGATAGAATTTTGAATAAATGGTTGGCTACTATAATAATGTTCCCATGTTCTGTGTGATGTATTGACTTTCTCTGAATACTATCTTTCAACAATAAATTGTTGGACACCCAAATGAAACAAGCCTGACTGTAAATAATATAATGATATTCCATCATCTGAGATATTCTAACAGAAATTGTTAAAAATGTTTCAAGAGAGTTAAGGCTGTTTTAATCTCAAATTCAAAATAGTCACACAATTAATTGGCACTGTTATTTAATATCTCTAACTTTTATATATCTAACCTGTAAATTAAAATTAAGGAACTTGGATGAGTGATGGAGGGAGAATGATTTATTCAAACTGATTTGTTCTCCACATGGGTTCCCATTGAAAGATGGCTGCTTGGCATTTTCAGGTAAGAGTGTCCCATCCAAGTTAGGAGAGTGTCAAAGGGAAGTAACTCGTGAAGATTAATACAATCAATAAAAATTATCTGCTGTTTTGCAAGAAAATTTTGAAGATAGAAAGGCTTCACAAAATTAAATGTTTATGCCTGCAGTTTTCAGATTTATTTAAAACAGATATCAATATTTAACTGAATAAAAAATTGAAGTTTTCTTCTTAAATTTTTAATAGTTTTCTTTCTTTGCCTTCCTTCCTTTCTATTTATTCTTCTGGCATATTTTTCTCTGCTATTCCACACATATATGGAAGCCCAGACACAATAATTGGCATGCATACAATATGACTTTGTATTTATTTTTATTTTAAATTCATTAAGATAAAAAAAAGTCTTTTAAATAAGGCACAAAACAATATAGGAACAATGCTGGATCTACACAAATCTAAATACTATTGTGCATGTCAGCTTCAAAGAACAATAACTGAAGGAACTACAATGAAGGTTAAAGAAGAGGCAATTACAAAAACTAAGTGAAATTTCATTAAAAAAAACAAACAA